AAAATTTCTTAAAACAACTATTGTATTCAATTAGTTAACAGACTACAGTTGGTTGTAAAGTTATGTGGACCTGGTTTTACATAAAATCTGGTTAATATTTGGTTAAAATTAATAAATATTTCTTTACTGTGTAATAATGTAAACAAAACTCATCAAAAATAAAAGAAAAATCTTTATAATAGCCCTATTATAAAAAAATAATTGAAAGTGTCATATAATTTGCACGTGTCCTAAAAATGCTGTTAGGAGCATTTAAAAGTTCATTTAAAAGCCTAACTAAATAGGGCCAAAATAGATTTAATTTAGGGTTAATGAATCATTAATTCTAAGTGGATATATTTATTATGCTTTGCTCTGCAATTGAAATTGATGAAAGGAAAAGGTTTGAAAAGAATTTTTTTTTAAATTTAAACTAGATAATTAAGAAGTTAAAACCCCCTGAGTTTTTAAAAACAATTGAATGTACGGTTTTTATTTGGTAAAAAATATTTTACAAAATAAAAATTTAATTTTAATAAAATATAAGAACTACAAGAAACACAGTTTATATTTGCCAGACATGGCCCTGTATGATTTTTTTGTTTGAAAGAGATATTCTAAAGATTAAGTTCCAAAATGGTTTTAGAGGCTTTTAGAAGCATATGTCGGTGTTTGTAATATTTATTTAATTGTATATTTCATTGTATAATAGTTTAACAAAACAGTTTTATAACTTAATATCAAATAAAGATTATTATAAAGGAAATCAACACATTGTTGTGACGGAATAATTACATTTTCCCCCGAAATGGTAAATTTGTGTTATTTTATGAACACATCTTATAATTTCAAGTTTTCGTAAAAATATTTAAAGGTATTATTATCTTTTTGGAAATTTTACTGGTTAATATTTTTGGTATGGTCTTCCTTAAAATTATATTAATCTAATGCTTTTTGACCATTACAAACTGTGTATAATTATTAAATTCTATTATGATGCTTAAATTATACACTTTTGTTTCTGAGAACCTGGGAATTGATGTAAGCAATAACGAATTTATGTTGTTTTTAGGTTGTCCTAGATAATTTGTAAGCAGTGACTGGGTTTTAAAAACCGGACTGGGAACTTCCTTTGTTTTAAAATTGTAATATTTTGGTCGCTAAATTTTAATAAATATTTCCATACATTTTTACTAAAACAAAAAAATACATTTTAATAGTATGTATTTGTGTTTGTAATAGGAATTAAAATAAGTAATATGTTAGTGTCAGTATTAGTATCAGTATAGATATCATCGGTGCCATATTCAAAATTTTTGCAGTATACGCAAAAAATTTTCTTTTTAGTTATAACTAAAGTATATTAAAAAAAAGTTCTAAAAAGGTTATTTTTATTTAAAAACGATAGCTAAGGTGGTTAGGAATGTAATTAAACTAAAACATTGATATTTTAATTTAGCTTTAATTCAGAATATTAGGTGTAAAATATACAATAGGGTGGTTCTTATTTGACCGATGCATCGCGATGTCGAAATTTTAATCGTGCCGATCCTTATTTATTTTTAAAAAATATAAAAAGGTTTATGCCAAATTTGAATGTCCTAACTTATTTCCTTCTATTGCCTGTAACAACGAGAAGTTTTTCAGATAGAGGATTTTTGCCTTTAATGTATTAATTTTAATGTATTATTTTTTAAAATTACTATTAACCTATGAAAAAGTATAATTTTTTGAGAAAATGTAGAGGACATAAGTTACCTTTAAACAAAAGAAAAGAATTGATTTATTTTCATCCTAAGGTCTTTTTTACTTACAGTTTTTCATATAGGGGATTTTTGCTTTAAAATGCAATAATTTTATAAAATCATTAATAATAAATGAACAATTTTAATTTTTAGAAGAAATTAAGGGAAAATATGGTACTTTTAATTAAAAAAGAATTCATGTATGTCCATCGTAAGGTCTTTTTTTACTTCGCTCAATTATTACTATTATTGTTATTTTATTGAAAATCTGAAACGTAATTTTGTACTTTTCTAATGTTGGTGCTACCTAAATATCTTTTAGGCAGTCTTAAATTATTTCTTTTTTAAAACAAATAATTTAAGATTACATAAATGATATTTAAGGAGCACCAACATTAGAAAAGTACAAAATTACAATTATGTAAATAATAAAATTGATTTTTAGATTGTTTTCGAACAATTTATTTTTAAAGAAAATAACAGTTAAAATGAAAAAAAACAAAATAAAACCCAGATAATTAGGTTTTTGGTATTTTAAAAATTGTTTACAACAGTCTTTTTTTGCGTCGGGAAATGCTTTTCGAAACTCTGACACAAGCTGAACAACAAATTGTTTCTGGTCTTCATTGTGTTACGATGAAGTTATACTCGTCTAATAAATACACACCTCTTTCACCAGCATCGTTTACGATTCTCAGTTACAGTTTTTAAACCGTTTTGATAATTTTCGTCCTAAGGCCACATAGTCGGATCGATTTTCAAAAAAGTGTTATCAATATCCCATCGCTAAAATAATCTTCTTACTTGTGGTGTTATAATATATTATTGTACAGCTTGTGTCAGAAATTCGAAAAACATTTCCCGACGCAATTTCTAGAATACCAAAAACCTAATTATCTGGGTTTTATTTTGTTTATTTTTTTGCCATTTTAACTATGTTACTTTCTTTAAAAATAAATTGTTAGAAAACAATCTAAAAATCAATTTCATTATTTACATAATTGAGGGACTCGGTGCAAGAACCGGGTATCTCAATACACCCTTCAGTAGTCCCGCATCGTTCGGTGCACAAACCATGTAGATCCACGTTAGCGTTAACTAAATATATCAGATACAGAAGATACCGCAGAAATTTTACTGTGCAAAATAATTTTTAACAAGGTTTTTCTTTTCTCCTGAACATTTTCCGAATATGGAGATACCCGGTTCTTGCACCGAGCCCCTCAATTGTAATTTTGTACTTTTATAATGTTGGTGCTTCCTAAATATGTTTTAGGCAATCTTAAATTATTTGTTTTATTAAACAAATAATTTAAGAATGCCCGCCTACAAGATATTTAGGTAGCACCAACATTAGAAAAGTACAAAATTACGTTTCAAAACACACTAATTAAGCATTAAATGCAAATTATCACGGATATTTTGTTTATTATGCCATTTTCAATAAAATAACAATAAAAGTAATAATTGAATGAAGTAAAAAAGACCTTAATATGGACATACATGAATTTTTTTTGTTTAAAAAACATGTGTTCCCTTAATTTCCTCTAAAAAATTAGAATTGTTCATTAATTAATTAGTTGTTTTATAAAATTATTGTGTTTTAAAGCAAAAATCCCCTATATGAAAAACTGTAAGTAATAATCGAGCGAAGTAAAAAAAGACCATAGGATACAAATACATGAATTCATTTTTTTTATTTTAAAGTAACTTAATTTAAAACCAAAAAAATGAATTCATGTATTTGTATCCTAAGGTCTTTTTTTACTTCGCTCGATTATTTTTTGAGAAAATGTAATTACTTTAAGTAACTTATATCCTCTACATTTTCTCAAAAAATTATACTTTTTCATAAATTAATAGTAATTTCAAAAAATTAATACATTTAAGGCAAAACTCCTCTTCTGGAAAACTTCTCGTTGTTACAGGCAATAGAAGGAAATAAGTTAGGACATTCAAATTTGGCACACATTTTTTTTATATTTTTTAAAAACAAATGAGAGGGCGGCACGATTAAAATTTCGACATTGGTCAAATAGGAACCACCCTAATATACAATATATAATTTAGAATTTTTAACATAGGAGTAATTGCAAAACCAAACACATATCAGTCTCTTTAAATAAAAATTAAATTAAAAAAGATTATATCAATATTATACAGTAATACATAAGTTTACAGATCGCAGACTAGAAGTGTCCTCCGAAGGACATTACCTTAACATTAAATTCAACCCATCCTTTTCTACTGTTTTTACATTAATATTATGTTCTATGACATAGTATTTTTAAAGTAGGTAATGACCAAAAAACAGAATTCTGAAATATAATGTAAATTTTACTTTATTATGACAAAGCCTTGCACAAAAAAATTGGTAAGATTCTTTGTCGACCGTTTGAAGTTTGTATTTTTTATATTTCTTACCACAACAATACTATTTAAAATGTAAACAAATATTTCATTTTGTAAATCCGAATGTAGTACTTTTAAACGATACTAGTGCTACCTAGCCTTAAATATAATAGCAGCAATATATTAATATTGGGGACTGTATAAATCCAACCCTTATTACAGTTTTCCCCTTGGTAAGACCCTAATTGAAGGGTGTATGTATTGATTTTTCTTTTAATTGCATTTTTTCTCAAAAGATGGCAATATTTTAAATGTAATACTTTATTTATTAATTAAATATGGTTTTTAAATAAATTGTATACATATTTTAATAAATTTAAAGTAAAAAAAAAATAAACCTGATTGTAAAATTCTACATTATTAATAGTTATTTAGGTCAAAAGGTTAAGAAGTGAGTCTTTTTGTGCTGAATTTGAATACCGACGCGTACAATTGAGCGAAGCACAAAAAAACTTCCCGCTTGGCATACAACATTTTATCTTCAAGGCATAATTTTATTTGTTATAAGAAATAAAAACATACAATTATAATATTAATTAAAAGTAGAAAGTAAGGTTAAATTAGAATTGACAGTAGACAAACTGTTTGATTGGTCAAAACGGTTTTTTTTCAGACTAGGAGGTAAAAAACTTTACTCGATTGGCCAAAATTTTTTTTACAGCCTAGGAGGTTTTTTGATTAAAGATTTAAAAATTATATTCAATTATAGTTTTCTCATAAAATAAACAAAATGAAACAAAAACTAGCTATTAAATAAATTTACGAAACAAATAAATAGACAAAATAAAAATTGCAGTTTTCTGTTTAATCTATATAAAGTTTGGGCTTATATAACATAGGAAAATAAGCATCTGCTGTTTTTCAAGGGGAGGCGTTGGCAACCCTGGGCGACGTTCAACGTCGCGGCGCTGCTATCCTTATGATGTCTGCTGTTCGATTTTTCGACGAAAGCCGTCACTTTAGGCCTTCACAACAAAATATAGATAATATAGAAAACATGTTACTTTGAAAGAAGCATAAAATGGTCGGAATGGCGAATATGGATGATCACGAAAGGAAAATAGTTGTGGAATTTTGCCATTTATTGGAAAAATCAAAACAACTGTTTAATGGGTTACGGTAAGTGTCAATTTACCCTTCCAATTGTTTGTAATTCACTATTTTCGTAGATTATTAGAGACAATTTTTTTAATTTAGTTTTATATCTATAAATGCATTTTAAAAAGTTAAACAAAAAAAGTACATCTAAGTCCGGAAAGTTCTGTTTTTTTATGAGTATAATAATGTTTAGACTTAAAGAGTTCAACGAGCCTAAAATTTTTACAAAACTTTTTAGACGTATTGCGCACTATTTTGTGGCCTGAATTAACAAAATCATGTCGTAAGTAATTTTTTATGTAGGGTGTACCTATTTATGTATTGAACATATCCGTACTTTTTTCTCAATAAATGTTAAATTGATTTTTTTTCTTAGTAAGTTACAATTTTGTAAATTAAAATATAAACAGATAAACAGTCAAGAACTCAATTTATGTGAAATTCGCATTTTTTTACATGTCTTAAGTTTATATTTAATATAAAAAATAAAAATAAATGTATAAATTCGTAGATAAATTGTTGTGTACTTTTAAAAACAAGTAAGAATTTTATAAGAAAATAACCATATTTTTTCAAATAATACAATATAGGATTAAAAAAATACTCTCATTCAATATTTGTCATTTACCATTATTTTGTTATCTCTCTCTATTTTTATTTAAATTAAAATAATTAAAAATCATTTCGTTTTTTTCATTTGTAATATTATCCTAATAAACATTCAAGCCCTAAAATCATAGTAGGAAAAAGTACCCTTTTGGTATACATATTCTTGATATCCAATCATAAACAATTAATAATAATAATTTTGATTTAAATTTGACAGGGATTTACCACAATATGGTCACAAACAATGGCAAGCATATTTTGGGAGAACCTTTGACATATACACAAAACTATGGAAATTTCAACAGCAGCACCGTCAAATTTTAGATACAAAATATGGATTGAAGAGGTGGCAGATAGGCGAAATAGCATCTAAAATTGGACAACTATATTATCATTATTAGTATGTCTGATTATAATATGATTTATTTAACCACTAACATATTTATTTTTTTAGTTTAAGAACTAGCGAAACGAACTATTTAAATGAAGCGTATTCTTTTTATTCGGCGATCAGAGGACGTGCATATTATTCTAGGGCGGCTAAAGAAGATAGGTAGGTACCTATATATTATTTGTTATACACAGAGAAAAGTAATCTCTTGATTTAAGAAAATGCATTTATTTGAAACAGTTTTTCTTGTATGAAGTAAAATTGTCTTATTCGTAGTAACTTCTTGTTTACATTAAGAAAATACTATTATTTGGTTGTAAATCATGAGTTTCTTGAAAACAACTTATTGTTGTGATTAATTGTAAAGAAATATTTATTTAGAGCAATTAATTCAATTGTTTGGATATAGGTTGTAGGGATTTAGTTTTATCAAATGTTAATACAAGCATATAATATCTTATTTTAACAAAATAATAGAATTGATACAAGTAAATGTTTTGTTTCTTTAAGTAAGATAAAAAGTCAACTAAATATTTACTTGTATTAAACAAACCATCAGTTTAAAAAGTCAAATAAACCCAAGTTTTCCACTAAATAAATATCTTCTTGTATCATATCGAAATAAATAATTTATTTGAGTCAAGACAGATATAGTAAAATCAAGAGATTACTTTTCTCTGTGTAGGTAGATATGCTAGGCTAGGCTGTAAACAGTTATTTTTGATGCTAGATTACGGAATGCCACTTTTGCATTCGAGAATAAGGTTTTTTTTGTAAGCGACAGCGAGCAAAAGATTTTCGCAATCGAGTATCAAACAACATTTTTTCTAAAACTTTATCCCACAGTTTATAAATTACTAAAAATGTGAAAAGAAAATTTTGAAACGGATTTAATATTTATTTGTTTTGCAAGTGTTAAAAAGCGACTTTTTCATGCGAGTTTTTAAGTTGCCCACGAGGCCGTTAGGCCGAGTGTGCATTAACACGAGATTGAAGAAAGCTTTTCTCAAAAGTATAACACAATGTTTTTTCTGTGACCCTTTTAACCTAAAAACTTTTTTGACAGCTGAATGTCAAACGATGCTGTCAATTTCTTTTCACCTGTCACTTTTCACACAGAAATGTCACTTTACATTCGTGTTTTGCCTTGCCAATGAAAAGATTCATTTTCTAAGCAACGATGCCATCATGAAAAGTGACTTTTACATAGTGGTCGTAGAAAAAAGTATTTTATTTACTCCCACATTGACAAGCTGTGACTTTATAGCGTTTTAGTCACGGGCTGAAGTTAGCTTTATTATGTCAAATATTTAACAATTAAAAGTGCCTAGATGTAGGCACTCGTTTTTATTAAACTTTAGCTCGCAAGCTTCTCTCGTGTCTAATACAATTAAAATGACGTTTATAAAACTTGATACATAATATACTATTGCATACATAGCAACGAATTTAAAGGACTTTTACGTTCTGTAGGCAGAAATTGTTGTTTTGACCCTTAATAAATACAATAATAATAATAATAATAATAATAATAATAATAATAATAATAATAATAATAATAATAATAATAATAATATAAAAGTCAACTACAACGTTAAAGTCTTTTTTGCTCGCTGTCGCTCAAAAAAAAAATGAAAGTTCGAATGCAGAAGTGTTATTTCGCAATCTAGCATCAAAAATAACTATTTTCAAAAGATGTCATTTAAAGTTAACTTTTACATTATATGACTAAAGTGTCAAAACAACAGTTCTTTGTCTACATAACGTAAAAGTCTTTTTTCTACAAGCGTTCGGAAAGTTGCTACTTTTCCGCACGCTCCACAGTGCGGAAAGTAAAGGCTACGAGTCGTTTGTTCAATTAACGGTAGTCGCGTGCGGAAAAGTAGAACTTTCTGCACTAGTTTGTGTGCGAGAAAATTAATAATTAAAGAGGTTGATGGATAAAGATTTTAAGTAACATGTTATGCAATAAGGTGATTATTATAATCACCAGTCCGGTTTAAGGATTCACATATAGCAAGGATTCATCGGTCCCTGAGTGATAGCAGTTTTTGGGCCCCCTCAATCCCCTCAATCCCCTCAATATTTTTGTAGTACTCATCAATTTTTTAATTTAAACTAAATAATAACTGTTGCTAAATCTTTAGCGACTAGTAACTTTTGTTTTTAAGAAATTAGGAGTTACAATACTAGTTGCAAAATAAAAATAATTTTATTCTTAGCAAGTAATACCAAAACAAAATAAATAAAAATCAACTCTTGGATAAATAACACTATGCAAGTCGAAAATTTCGTATTCCATGCGAGAAATAACAATGTAGTGTTTTTCTTTATATACATATGATAGCAGTTTTTGGGCCCCCTCAATCCCCTCAATCCCCTCAATATTTTTGTAGTACTCATCAATTTTTTAATTTAAACTAAATAATAACTGTTGCTAAATCTTTAGCGACTAGTAACTTTTGTTTTTAAGAAATTAGGAGTTACAATACTAGTTGCAAAATAAAAATAATTTTATTCTTAGCAAGTAATACCAAAACAAAATAAATAAAAATCAACTCTTGGATAAATAACACTATGCAAGTCGAAAATTTCGTATTCCATGCGAGAAATAACAATGTAGTGTTTTTCTTTATATACATATATAAATATACTAAATAGATTTTTAAAAATCAATATGTTTAAAAATATAAGTTTATAATTTAAAATAATAAAATGCTATTAAAAGTAGTCTGTCGATTTAAAATAACTATAGAGCGAGAACAACCCCTATAATTTGAAATCGCCTAATGTGTTCAACAAGCGATACCATATTTGAAAGGTTTTGTATCATTTTCTAATTTATCGTTCTTTTTTTGAGTTTTAGATCCGAATTAATGGTTAAAAAATTAAGATATTATGCTCGATTTATAGTGGTATGTCTTCTATTACGTCGAATGAAACTAGTACGGGAGTTAATAGGAGAATTAGATAGACATATCGCAGATTATACAAGTACTTATGAACCTGACGACCAAATCGAATGGAGTCTAGTTCTAGATGAAATTAAAGGTTTCATCACGTCCGATTCTCTAGTATCTGTGCTACATCCAGATACGAATCCTATTGTTCTATCTCACAGGTATGTAAATTTATTTAATGAAATTTGTTATATAAATAATTGTTTGGACCTAAAATAGTACATTATACAACTAATGTGATAAGACGTCATTTTTTCACACAAGGAAAATTAGTAATAGACGAGTGGGAGAATGTATTATGACATGAGTTCTTCATAATATTTTTTCTATATGTCAACATTTTAAGAAAAATTAGAATCCGATGCATCAAAGGGAGATAAGGGTATTGGTGCGGCAGTATATATACCATCCGTAAAACTAATTAAGTTGTTTTCTATCTATTCTGCAGAAGTGGTGGCAATTTGAATAGCCCTATTATACTATTATAATAATAGTATTATTATTATACTAAGTCAACATATCAGCATTTTAGATATAAACACTTCAAATCCATTTATATTTCAAATTAAAAATCTTTTAATTTATATTACTTTAAAAAAATTATCATTAAAGCACATGTGCGAAGGAATATATCTCTGAAAGTTGTCTTTTGATTAGCGCCGGGGTTGCTATAAACATTATTTAATAAAGAATGAGAACACATTTTAAACAATACTTGTAAAATGATTTTAAAAAGTTAACAAATCGCGTGGTTTTATAACGAAAATAATTATAACGAGATTTGGCCATGGCTGTTATACCAAACACCTTTATTAAATTGGTATTTTAAATCATATATTTTTCAATTGTTCCCAGTATGATCAAAAATTTAATAACAAAACTGGTTCACCATAGAGTGAACCTCCCGGTTAACATTCCACACTTATTGCTTCTTGGTAATATTTGTATGCCTTGCTGGTTTTTTTTTGGGAGAAGTTGGTATAAAAATATAGATTAGGTTAATTTCGTCAACTTTGTTATCTTTTCTTTTGTTTTGTAAAACCTTTTTTCCGTGGCCATTCTATGTATATAATTTAAAAAAAATTCTAATAGGCCCTAGAACGAGAAGAGTGTGTCTCTATTATAATCCCTTGTTAATCTTCTGTACGTTTCCTATTTATTATTTTATTAAGTAGCTTAGTTTCTTAAAGAAACTTTATTTTTAATTTTATTAAAAAGGTGAATGGCTAAATGGTCCAAACCCAAAATATATATATATTTGTGTATCGTACTGTTGCCATGGAGACAAATGAAGACAAATGCGTATCGTACTGTGCTTGTAAACAAGTAGAGAGTAGTATTTTATGCGACGCCATTAAATTTTAATGATGTGTGTTAACTAGTTCAATATGAGCTGTATGGATCACCTAAATAATAACTTATAAGTTATAACTTATAAGTTATTATTAATTACCTATAGGTCTGTAAATTAATTATTGGTCCCTTATTCCTTATTACTGATCATAAATAAATTATTTAAATTTCAATACCTTTCCTATTACATACCTAATGTGTCATATAAGCAGAGCTGGGCCAAGTACAAGTAAAATGTACTTACTTTTCGTTCAGGCTAAGTTGAGTGTTCTAAGTAATGTCACCCCGTCCATCATCTCTATGTTCAGGCACAATTAAATACATGTATTTCGGTAGCCGCTCTGTACGAACAAACGGCAAGCCGCGGCACTGATAAATCATATTCTTGTTACCGAAATTTCGCGACGATTCGATGTTTAATTTAATTAACGGCCACATGATCCCCCACCAAAGCGCTCAACTTAGCCTGAACGGACTGTAAGTACCAAGTAAAAAGTACTTTGTATAATTCCTGAAGGAGTACAAAGTATCAAGTACTATACTAATTGCAAAGTACTTTAAGTACAGTACTCCAAGTACAGTACTCAGTACTTTATATTTGTATTTCAAGAGTACATGTCAACAAGACAATACTCACTAGTAAGTACCTACATAATTATATATTATGCATTATGTATACTTTACCGATATAGCAATAGTATTAGGCTAATACTGCGTCTGCGAAATAATAAATATAACATATTTAATTTGTAAGTATATGCTGTAATTATATAATTAATACTATAGAAGACAAGGTGTACGTCCTAGGAAAACAACGTCTTGTTTGTTTCAAAAAATACAAAACATCAGAAAATAATTTTAACGAAATCAACGTGCTGACTATTTGTTTACGAAAATAAAGAGGGTTGGAGAAAAAAACGTTCTACTGATTTATCCCAAGATTTTCTGCGACCTAGAGTTGATAAAGGCATCTCGGAATATATTTTAGTTGTATCAACAGATAATGCACATGGAAACTCAGAAATATTCATTTAAGGTGATGACTAACAGTCCAGTCAAACATATTTAGAGAAAAGATTGCATTAAATTTTAGAGTAAGAATTTTCAAAATCGAGCATGCGGTTATAGAGTTTTCCCGACTTGATAAAATGCATTTCCAGCAACCGTTTTGCCCGTGAACCGATTTTCACCAAACAAACTTTGAAATGAAGCCTCATTTATTTGACAATTTTACTAAGCGGAAAATTTGGAAAATGTTTCTAGGTTTTCCCCCAATAATTGTCCTCTACAGATGTACTTATATTTTAGTCCCAAGTACTCAGTACTCTAAGCAGAATGTTACAAGTACATATTTAAAGAAGTGCTTAAGTATCAAGTACAAAGTACCCAAAATGTACTCTAAGTACAATATTCAAGTACTTGTACCACCCAGCTCTGCATATAAGGCATTTTGTTCAGGTCAAAATTTTTAAAAATATTCGAATTATATTTGCATATCGCACTGTTGCAATGGAGACAAAACAAAACGCAAATGCGTATCATAATGTGCTTATTTTGGTAAACAAATAGAACATAGTATTTTATGCAACGACCATTTAATGATGGCTATTAGAATAATGACATGAGGCGAAGGGTAATGTCATAATGAGTGTGAGCCTATTAAATGGTCTATCATAATAAAATTTGTACTATAATGGATCTTATTATAGTACAGGTGGAAAATGTCCTATAAACAAATTAAAGTATTTATGTTAACTACTTTAATATGAGCTTCATAGCTTACCTAAATAATAACTTAAATAATATTAGGTCTGTAAATTAATTATTGGTTCCTTACTCCTAATGCTTATAAAAAATATTTTATCATTTATAAATGATGATTTAAATTTTAATATAATATATATTACACCGTACAACACAAAATTGCCCGCATCGATGAAACTTGAAAAATCGGATAGAAGACGATAAAAAAAGACCCGTGTATCGGCGATTTTTTTGTACACGTCAAAAAAATTTTTTTTTTTCACTTTAAAGTTTTTAATTACGAGCATTTAATATGTTTTGTTTTTAAACAAAATATACCAATTTTGCTGTGAACCATATTATTGAAAAGGTATTAAAAATTAGGAAAAATGTTATATAATGTACAGGAAATATGTAAAATTGGTAATTCAAAAGATTAAAGGAAAAATTAAAAAATAAATCTTAAAAATTCGTATGATAACTATTATTTTGAGCAATTATGTATTCTTGGTTAAAAACAACGTTTAAACGTAAAAAACAATTTTGTTTTTTTTGTATATACACTGTGGGTTTGTTAATCTAAAATTTAGATTCTAAATGATACGCATATAAAAGTACGATTTTTATTAAACTGCACCTTTTATAGTTTTGTTCGTTGAGAATTAAAATGGAGTGTCCTAATCGCAATAAATTTTGTTATGTTTGTGGTTTATATGTAACTGTGAAACATGTTCGTAATATAACCAAAACCTTAGTTCTTTCGTTTCAGCGACAGTTTAAAACCAATTACGCTCCCGAAGTGGTATGCACGTCATTATGTAAAAATAATGACAAACAACCCGGTAGTAAATACCAAATACCTACTATTTGGTTACCCCGTACAGAGCATTCTCCGGAATTGTGTTACTTTTGTCTGAACGAAACAAGGAGCTTTGGTTATAAATATGAACACCGCGAAAAAATCGCCTACGTTGAAGTTGAATCTGTAATCCCATTGAAGTTGAATCTGTAAACCCAGTTGAAAAAGAAGCTTGCACATCTGCTGTTAATGCCTTTGAAAACTTTCTTGGTAACAATCGAGCTGAAAATTATATAGAAATTGTGCAAAAAATGATCTCTGCGTATGGCAATATGGGAGTATTAATGTCATTAAAAATTCATTTTTTGCATAATCTTCTAGATTTTTTCAAAAATAATATGGGTAATTACAGTGATGAACATGGAGAAAGATTCCACCAAGACATAGCTTTAATCGAAACTAGATTTAAAGGTAAAAATTTGGTGCACATGCTCGGTGAATACTGTTGGTCACTTTGTCGTGAAACGGCAACAAATTTACTAAAAAAAAAAAGGCCAAAATTTGAAAAATAATTAAGTTGTATCAAATATTTTTATTAAACTAAATAATATCAGACATTTTGTTTAATTGTATTCAGCGTTAAAACAATTTATAAGGTAGTATTGTTTTTTTTTTTACTTTTGAGTATTAAAATTTTATGGACGTAATAATAAAGTAGTTACAGCCTTATGATTATGTAAGAGTTCTTTAAAATGCCCTTTAAGAACATTTGTAAGCTTGAATAAAAAAAAAATAACATTAATATTTAGTATGGAAACTTTCTACGAATTATCTTTAAATTTTGTGTTTCAAAACCAAATAAAAAAAAAATTTGACGTGTACAAAAAAATCGCCGATACACGAGTCTTTTTTTTATCGTCTTCTATCCGATTTTTCAAGTTTCATCGATGCGGGCAATTTTGTGTTGTACGGTGTTATATATACATTATATAATATATATATTATATTACATATTAGGTGAGGCCTGTCAGAGCAAAGTCCGACTAAAACTGAGTAAATTGAGATAATTGATTTTTGTATTTTAAATTCTAGATTTGTAATTTTTTTTATATATTATATTGAAATATTGTTGTGGTTAGTCTATTAGCCAACTACAAGGTCTCCAGGATGCATAGTATAGGTGAAATCTGTAATTATAAATTGGAGATTGCTGACTTTGATATGAATTGCTGGAGATTGCTCATTTTGTTGTAAACGTTTAAGGAG